AGTATATTTGCATACATGATTGCATATGTAGTTGATCATTCATGATATTCTTCATTGTGAGTATATACATGTTGCTGTGAAGGGTGCGAGACTATGCGGTTGTTGATTATGTAATTGAATATGTGTTTGTTGTATGCTCTCTACCTTAGCATTCCTTAGGTCCAAAAGCCACAAATTGTGAGAAACCTCCATTGTTAACTAAATGCTTGGATAACTGATAACTTTGTTTAATTAATCTGATCCATGCTTAATCTTTTGATTATTGTGGTTTTGTGGAAGATTCAGAAAGGATCAACGCGTTTGTTTATATTGAGCATAATCATATCCAAAAGTAATTTACTCGTGAGTATGAGAATTTATTAACCCCTTCGAGCTTAATAGATTAGATCTAATTTTAGTGATGAACTTGGTTTATGTACATAATATTAATGTTTAGTTAATCATTGAATTTTGTGGGATTCAAAAAAAAAAATCTTGAAATCTTTGAACATTGTTCTAAAATGAGTTCATTTCCATAAAGAGAAAGGAGCATTCACTTGAGGTTTTATGGTATTCAAGTTGGGGAGAATTAAAGAAAAGAGGTAGGTTGCTCAAAAATTTGAAAAATCTCAAACAAGCAAAGAAAAGAAAAAGAAAATTGTGAATATGAATGTGAAAAAGAAAAGAGAAAGAAAAGCTTGTTTGAAAGAAAAAAAATAGAGAATGCAAATAATTGTGCAAAAGGAAGTTTTAAAGGTTGAGCAATTGAGGAAAGGGATTGGTGAATGAAGTTGTAATGTGTAAATAACTTGTATAGTGAATGTATCTTTTGCATTGGCAATTTCAATTCAAAGGCCTTTATAAATGACCCTTTATTGTGAATCTGCCCAGACTATAACCTTAAAAGCCCTTAGTGATATTTAGCTTCCATAATTTCTAATTGTGTTAGCATTGTTGTTCGAATGAGTGTAATTGTCCCGTGGTTGCAACCGGACAATTTCCTTCATACATTAATTGAAGAGGAGTGTTAGAGTGATTCAAGCATGATAGTTTAGTTGTTTTGTGAAACATGGCATGCTATTTGTTTAAGAACTAAATTCTTTTTCATTGTTGATTATAGGAAGTTGTGATCATTGCTCGTATGCAATATTAGGTTGAATTTGAACCATAAATCATTTCTTGGTTGAATCTAGGCTTTAGCAAATCCTCTTATTTTCATGAGTGGCATACTTTGCTTGAGGACAACCAAAAATCTAGTTGGGGAATGTTTTTTGAATGCCAAATATGTCTTATTTGAACCTTTATTCTTTGCATTTTTCAACTCATTCCTCAAGTATTAATTTATTTATTCCATGTTCTTATGAGATTCTTCAATAAAATTTATTTTACCTTTAGATGCCTTGATATGTGTGCTATTGTTTAGGAAATAGGTTGTATTATCAAAGAACAAGGTACAATTGAATGGAAAAGGAAGCCAAAGAAATTATAGATAATCCAGCAGGTTCGTAGTGCGAGCAGGAAGCAAAGCGCTGACGAGCTCGTAGTGCGAGCTCAAGGTGAGGCCAAAGTGAACTAAAACATTTGGATGGTAGTAGCTAAATGTCTCACTGAACATAGTGCGAAGTAAAGGCGAAGAAGTTCGTAGTGCAAAGAATAGCTCGCAATGTGAGCTTAGATATTTTTACAGGGGCGGTTTAACTATTCAGAGGCACTTCATGTGCCTAAAATTAGACTTCGCAGTGCGAACGATAATTTTTTTTAATACTATTTATGTAATTTTATTGCTTTTTAGAAACATAACTGAGATTTTTAGAGATAAAATTTTATCTCTCTTCCTTCCAAATATATTTTAGAGAGAAAAACACAAAACCCTAAGAGGGAGAAGTCCAAATACAAGCAAATCAGAGCTTGATCTTCGAGTAAGTAGTTCGATCTCTTGTTGGGGTTGGATGGAATCTATTGATACCTTATGTATTTCTTCTAATCTATGTATTTGTGAACTAATTTTGATGTTGTCTTTGATTTCAAATTGTTGGGTTTGAGATATTCATCTATCAATGAGCAAACTCTAGACATAGATTTGTGAGTTGATATTCACTATTATCAAGCTTTTATTATGTTGATTGTTAGCATGAGACATCATCTAGTGATTAATATGGTAAATCCCATGACAACGCTTTAGACATAATTGGTATTGTGAGGATGCGTGGTAATAGAGATAAAGAATTATGTTCACATACATAAATTAGTTGAATACATATTAAAAAGGGTTAATCGTGTGTATGTATTATGATCATGGCATTTTATATGAATAAATCATTTATTTGATATGGATATTATCCTTATTTACTTGTTTGCAGAATGATTTGAACTGCTATAGACATATACTCTTCAGATATGGATCTAGGATGAATACATGTTAGGTTCTAAACTCTAGATATAGATTTAGATTTAACATTCGCGTGAGTATCAGTTGTTAATGCTCTTTGTTGTTGAGTTGCATGAGACATTACCAATGAGATAACACGGTTGTTCTCTCGACTTTTTGTTAGACATAACCTTTGTTGTGGGTGATACGTGAGGGTATTAGACAAATGATTGATTTGTGTTTAACTAATCAAAAGAATGCATATGTTATCAATTGATGAAACTCCAATCCCAGCAAGGCTCTGTTTATTTTAAGTATTTACTTTATATTTTCCATTTTTATATTTTCCGCTTTCATCTATTATACCTTGAATATTTCAATCAAAAATACCAACAACAAGCTTAAAAACATAGAGACCATTGAACGACGTTGTTTCCCTCGCACTGAACCCTATGGAGACGAAAAAATTGGGTTCTCAATAATTTTTGCTTGCCGTCTTACCGCATCAAAAATCAAGCCTCGTGTGACAAAGGCATCTTAATGACCCAATGAGTCTTCTATACTGAGTTGGATCAACCTCATCTTTGTTTCCATCCTTTGTTAGATGCAATCTTGTTTTAGCCGGTGTCAATGTTGCATTGCATTCTTCCGTCTCAAATTTTTTTAGTATCTCATTTTCATATTTTCTTTGGTGCATTGTTAAGCCTCTTTCACTCATGTTGAATTCAATTCCAAGAAATTATGAGATATTTCCCAAGTCAAACATTTCAATCTCCTTGCTTATGTCATGTTTGGAATATTCAATCTCTTTCTTGCAACTACCTATTCTCAACAGGTCATCGACATAGAGACATAATATAAGCAGTTTACTCCTACTTCTCCTAACATACACGTCATGCTCATTTGTGAACTTTATAAACTCTTCTTCCCTTAGAAAACCACCTATCTTCTTATTCCGAGTTCTAAAGCTTGCCTGAGTCCATACAGGGCTTTCTACAATCTGTATACCTTTCCTTCTTGGCCTTGCTTCTCAAAACCAACTAGTTATGCTACATAAACCTCTTAATCTAGAGGGGTCATTTATGCACATTTCACATCCATCTAAAACATATACCAATTGTTTATGTTTGCTAAACTAATAACCAACTTAATTGTTTTGATCCTAGTAACCGTTGGATACAAGTCTTGCTTTATGTATGGTTACTTGTTCTTTTGAATTCAGTTTCACTTTGAAAACCCACTTCACATCAACTTCCTTCTTTCCTTCTCGCCTTCTGAAAATTTGACTAGTGACTAGGTTTTGTTTACTTCTATAGACTTCAGTTCCTCCATCACGGCTTACATCCACTTCGAGTCCTTCAATGCCTCAGTTAAATTAACTAGCTCAGTATATACATAGAAATCATACTGAACAAGTTCACCTTCAACATCAACCAAATCAGCTTATGTAGTCTCATATTCATGTAACCTTGCTGGCATGTTTCTTGTTCTTTGAGGTCTGCTTATGCCTGCTTGACCTCTAACTTCTTCTTGTCAAACTTCTCAGCCAGCTTTTCACTAGCTGGTTCATTACATAGGATTTTATTCCAATCCCATTCCTTAAACTTATTTATGATCACATCCCTGCTGATCACAACTTGCTTGTTCACTAGGTCAAACAATTTGTATCCACTAGTCGAGTGATATCCTATTAGGATCATTTGACTCGACTTACCATCAAGCTTCCTTCTCAACTGATCAGGCACATGTCTATGTGTTATGGATCCAAACATCTTAAAGTGACTTAAGCTAGGATTGACACCAGACCAACATTCGTCTAGTGTGATTTCTTATAGTTTCTTAGTCGGACATCTGTTCATAATGTATGTTGGAATAAGTTAAAACTCATCTGTTGGAACAAGTTATTTTATATTATCTTGGATAATTTGCAATTTTTGTAAATTTGTATGTTATGTTGGATAACTTGTGTTTTATTTTGGATAATTGAATTAAGTTAATGTGTTCTTTTAGATTTTATTGCTTAACTTAGATGGATTATTTAGAAATCCTAGTTTTAGATTTCAAATTTAATATTTATTACAGGTATTATTGCATAGTCACTTGCAAATAAAAATATTGTTGAAATTCTTTTGTTAGTATAACATAAAAAAGATTGGGGACGAACCCGTTTAGGGCCAGGTAACCCGCAGCGTAGATATGGCTGAGCCTGAGTAGTAATATTAGAGGCCATATTCAATTTATGTTTTTTGGGTCAGAACCGGGCCTAAAATATCCAAGATTGGCCAGGTCGAAAGACCAGATAACCTGTTTTAACAGTTCTTAAGATAAAAACAAAGTAATAATATAATAATTGTAAATGTAGCTCAACCACCATAGATTTAATGTCACATTGAAATAAATCAACAAAGGTTAACCATCACAAAACAATAAGGAACATAATGTCATATGATTTAAATAAAAGATATATTATAGAAAAATATCAAGATAAAATTTTAGTCTCTCTTAATTCAAGTAGTGATATACAACGAGTCATATAATTAAACCATGTAAAAAAATAAAAAAATATAACAATCCATTGCATATAAGACTAAAAACAAAAAAAAAACTCAAAAATTGTAAATATCTCCTTAAGAGAGATCATCACTATATAGTTTTAGTTGTGAGAACCATCTTTGCTTTGTACAGCATCAGCAGTTTCTTGTGCTTTGGCTTTCATTTGCTGACCAGCCTACAATAACAAAACATTCTCATCAATCTATAAGACAACCCTTCTTATAACAAAAGTCATTTTTGTAAAAATAAATGAAGCTTAACCTAAATTATAAGACAACTTTTTATCATATATTTAAATAGTTAGTTAAATGTTCAAACCTCTTGGCAAGATTCTTTGGCAGATTGAGCAGCATTGCTTGCCTTATCCATCATGTTGCTTCCCTTCTCCTAAATCAACAACATTATTATATCAAATAATCATATGATACAATAATTTATATATATATATATATATATATATATATATATATATATATATATATATATATATATATATATATATATATATATATATATATATATATATATATATATATATATATATATATATATATATATATATATATATATATATATATATATATATAAGAAACTAGAAATGCATGAGTATAATGACACTAATTACTCACTTGGGCTTGTCCTGCGGCTTGGCCAGCTTGATGGCTAATATTTTCGGATTGATTCATCTTTGATTTCTCTTTTAGAATCTTGAAAAAAAAATGAAGATAACTAAAAAAAATGTTAATTTTCTTGGTGAATGTATTTCATCATTGTGTGATGGATATATATAGTTTTTCATATTTATGAGTAAAGTGACACATGTAAAAATTTATACCCTTTATTTAAGATGCTTTAGTTTGGGCTTAAGACCAGGAAGCTTTATAAATATGTGTTTGTGAATTTGATTGTTATTACCATCATCATACTAAAAATAGAAAGTAACTTATTATCAATTCCTCCAAAGTACTAAAAGTAAAATAAGAAAAAAAATGCCGAATTTAAGATCTGTCAAATTAACTATAACATTAACTTCACTTTTAAATTAGGTATAAAATGAAATTTATTTTGTCCTTATTTTATATTATCTTAAAAACAATATTGATATATCAAATGAATATTTTTCGTAAAATTTTATATTTGAACAATATTTTATTTTTAAAATTTATCTTCCAAACATTTTTAATTGTAAAGGAGTAGGATAGTGTGTCATTTTTCAAAATAAAATTAAAGACAACTTTATTTAGATAAAAAGAAATGATAAATAAAACGATATTACAATATTAATGGATAAAACTTTATTATTATTTAGGTTAAATATCATTTTCCGTCTTTTATGTTGTATTCGGGGTTTAGTTTGGTCCCATATATTTTAGAAAGATCATTTTGATCATTCAACTTTTTAAAACATATCACGTTATTTCTCAATTCTAGGTTGGGCATTGGTTTGGAAACTAATTCCAACTGTAGCATTGCTTTTAATAATCATAGCAGCAATGCAATCGATTGCACTATTGCTACAATTGATTTCCTATTCTAGAAAAGTGGTTTGCTGACAAATGGTGAAATATTTTGCTAATGTTTTTGTTGCGTTGTCCGACGATTTTGGCCGTATCTTTCATTCCATAGGTCAAATGAGACGTCATTAGAAGCGTTAGAAAGATAATGCGCAAAGCTACCTCATGGTAGTGTTTGGTGAAATGTTTGAGTTGTAGTAATTTGCCTACTATAGGGATTTTATGATGACTTGTACGATTAATTAGCGAATCGTTATGTGTATATGATGATGTGTTGCTGTTTTGGTGAGTAACATGAATGAATGCTTATGAAGTTACATTTGCTGAGTTGTTGTTGTTTGTTTGTTATCTATTGATGTTGTAAAATTGATTAATTATTGCGTATTATGAATGATGTTGTGCATAAGTGGTGAGATATGCATAGTGATTCTTTCCCTGAACCTTTTGACGGAAATACATGTTGTTGAGAGTCATGCATCATGGTGTACGGACTTCGGTCTAGTTTGGTATGCTATAGTCATATGGCGGGGATTGGCAGCTAGTAATCGGTTCCAAATGGGGATTGGTGAAGCATTTACCTCTGGTGATGGTAACAATTTGGTATGCTCTGGTCCTAGGATGGGGATTAGGAGTGAGATGAACCTTAGTGTTCTTGAATGGTACCACATGCATAATGAGTCAGTTGTAGAGTATATTTGCATACATGATTGCATATGTAGTTCATCATTCATGACATTCTTGGTTGTGAGTATATACATATTATTGTGAAGGGTGCGAGACTATGTGGTTGTTGATTATGTAATTGAATATGTGTTTGTTGTATGCTCTCTACCTTAGCATTCCTTAGGTCCAAAAGTCACAAATTGTGAGAAACCTCCATTGTTTACTAAATGCTTGGATAAATGATAACTTTGTTTAATTAATATGATCCATGCTTAATCTTTTGATTATTGTGGTTTTGTGGAAGCATTAGAAAGGATCAAGGTATTTGTTTATATTGAGCATAATCATATCCATAAGTAGCTTACTCGTGAGTAATGAGAATTTGTTAACCCCTTTGAGCCTAATAGATTAGATCCAATTTTAGTGATGAACTTGGTTTATGTACATAATATGAATGTTTAGTTAATCATTGAATTTTGTGGGATTCTAAATAAAATTCTTGAAACCTTTTAACTTTGTTCTAAATTGATTTCCTTTCCATAAAGAGCAAGGAGCATTCACTTGAGGTTTGATGGTATTCAAGTTGGGGAGAATGAAAGAAAAGTGGTAGGTTTCTCAAAATTTTGAAAAATCTCAAACAAGAAAAGAAAAGAAAAAGAAAAATTGTGAATATGAATGTGAAAAAGAAAAGAAAAAGAAATGCTTATTTGAAAGAAAAAAAAATAGAGAATGCAAATAATTATGCAAATGGAAGTTTTAAAGGTTGAGCAATTGAGAAAAGGGATTGGTGAATGAAGTTGTAATGTGTAAATAACTTGTATAGTGAATGTATCTTATGCGTTGGCAATTTCAATTCAATGGCCTTTATAAATGACCCTTTATTGTGAATCTAGCCAAACTATAACCTTAAAAGCCCTTGGTGATCTTTAGCTTCCATAATTTCTAACTTTCTTGATTGATTAATGTATGAATTGAATTGTGTTAGCATTATTGTTCGAACGAGTGTAATTATCCCATGCTTGTTACCGGGCAATTTCCTTCATACATTAATTGAAGAGGAGTGTTAGAGTGATTCAAGCATGACAATTTAGTTGTTTTGTGAAACATGGCATGATATTTGGTTAAGAACTAAATTCTTTTTCATTGTTGATTATAGGAAGTTGTGATCATTACTTGTAGGCAATCTTAGGTTGAATTTGAACCATAAATCGTTTCTTGGTTGAATCTAGGCTTTAGCAAATCCTCTTATATTCATGAGTGGCATACTTTCATTGAGGACAACCAAAAATCTAGTTGGGGAGTGTTTTTTGAATGTCAAATATGTCTTATTTGAACCTTTATTCTTTGCATTTTTTAACTCATTCCTCAAGTTTTAATTGATTTATTCCATGTTCTTATGATATTCTTCAATAAAATTTATATTACCTTTAGATGTCTTGATATGTGTGCTATTGTGTAGCAAATATGTTGTATTATTAAAGAATAAGGTACTATTGAATGGAAAATGAAGCCAAAGAAATTATGGAGAATCCAGCAGGTTCGCAGTACGAGCTGGTAGCAAAGCGCAGATGACCTCGTAGTGCGAGCTCAAGGTGAGGCCAAAGCCAACTAAAAAATTTGGATGGCAGTAGCTAAAAGTCTCAATGAACATAGTGCAAAGTAAAGGCGAAGAAGTTCATAGTGCAAAGAATAGCTCGCAGTGTGAGCTTAGATATTTTCTCAGGGGCGGTTTAACTGTTCAGAGGCACTTCATGTGCCTAAAATTCGAATTCGCAGTGCGAACAATAATTTTTTTAATACTATTTATGTAATTTTATTGCTTTTTAGAAATATAACTGTGATTTTTAGAGATAAAATTTTATCTTTCTTCCTTCCAAATATATTTTAGAGAGAAAAACACAAAACCCTAAGAGGGAGAAGTCCAAATACAAGCAAATCAGAGCTTGATCTTTGAGTAACTAGTTTGATCTCTTGTTGGGGTTGGATGTAATCTGTTGATACCTTATGTATTTCTTCTAATCTATGTATTTGTGAACTAATTTTGATTCAATATTGATGTTGTCTTTGATTTCAAAAAATTGGGTTTAAGATATCCATCTATCAATGAGCAAACTCTAGACATAGATTTGTGAGTTGATATTCACTATTATCAAGCTTTTATTATATTGATTGTTAGCATGAGACATCATCTAGTGATTAATACGGTAAATCCCATGATAACGCTTTAGACATAACTGGTATTGTGAGGATGCGTGATAATAGAGATGAAGAACTATGTTCACATACATAAATTAGTTGAATACATATTAAAAAGGGTTAATCGTGTGTATGTATTATGATTATGGCACTTTATATGAATCAAGCATTTATTTGATATGGATGTTATCCTTGTTTACTTGTTTGCAGATTGATTTGAATGGCTATAGACACATACTCCTCAGATATGGATCTAGGATGAATACATGCTAGGTTCTAAACTCTAGACAAAGATTTAGATTTAACATTCGCGTGAGTATCAGTTCTTAATGCTCTTTGTTGTTGAGTATCGTGAGACATTACCAATGAGATAACACTGTTGTTATCTCGACTTTGTGTTAGACATAACCTTTGTTGTGGGTGATACGTGAGGATATTAGACGAATAATTGATTTATGTTTAACTAATCAAAAGAATGCATATGTTATCAATTGATGAAATTCCAATCCCAACAAGGTTCTGTTTATTTTAAGTCGTCACTTTATATTTCCCATTTTTATATTTCCAGTTTTTATATTTTCCGCTTTTATCTATTATACTTTGGATATTTCAATCAAAAATACCAACAACAAGCTTAGAAACATAGAGGCCATTGAACGGTGTTATTTACCTCGCACTGATCCCTATGGAGACGATAAAATTGGGTACTCAATAATTTTTCCTTGCCGTTTTACCGCATAAAAAATTAAGCCTCGTGTGACAAAGGCATCTTAATGACCCAATGAGTCTTCTATACTGAGTTGGATCAACCTCATCTTCGTTTCCATCCTTTGTTAGATGCAATCTTGTTTTATCCGGTGTCAATGTTGCATTGCATTCTTCCATCTCAAATTTTTTTAGTATCTCATTTTCATATCTTCTTTGGTGCATTGTTAAGCCTCTTTCACTCATGTTGAATTCGATTCCAAGAAATTATGAGATATTTCCCAAGTCAAACATTTCAATCTCCTTGCTTACGTCATGTTTGGAATATTCAATCTCTTTCTTGCAACTACCTATTCTCAACAGGTTATCGACATAAAGACATATTATAAGCAGTTTACTCTTACTTCTCCTAACATACACGTCATGCTCATTTGTGAACTTTATAAACTCTTCTTCCCTTAGAAAACCATCTATCTTCTTATTCTGAGTTCTAAAGCTTGCTTGAGTCCATTAAGGGCTTTCTGCAATCTGTATACCTTTCCTTCTTGGCCTTGCTTCACAAAACCAACTAGTTATGCTACATAAACCTCTTCATATAGAGGGTTCAT